AAAAAACCATTGACACGGACGACGACGAACAATCACTCATATGATTTTTTAAGCTCTGCTCGACGAAGTCGACAGCAGACTGTTTCCATCTATTCACACTATCCTTAAAATATCCAAATGACCTGCATCCTTGAAAATCTAGTCTTATCGCTCTTGCGTTTCTGAGGGAAAAAATATTGATTTCAAAAACGAATGATTTGCACCCATGCCATCCTATGATTTGTTGACAATATCATTAATTCAGTACAGCCATTCTTTTTGAACAATTGAGAGGCAAAAATTCATCATTTCTCATATGTGTAGGTGCTCTAATAAAAGCCGCATCCCCTCTGTTGCATTGTACCATTTTAATAGAAGCCGCGGCTTCTAATACAGATTTTACAGTAAATAGGTTATTTATTACAGATGCCTGGGGATCCAAATTTGCAATGTAAATAACTCTGGCAACAAGGGAATATATAACAACCAAATCATAGGAAATTGATTGCCCATTGAGATTAAAATAATTTTTTTTTAGAAATCACAAAATTCATATGTAATATTTATATGAATGTGCAATAATCATTTGAGTTTAAAACTTTTCTACTTACCTCCAAATACATGTAGATATACTAGTACACAAGGTATTGAGATTAAAAATCAATTAGTTAACACTTAATAGGCAACTACATTTTCATGTGAATAACTAGTTTTTCAGATTGGTTGTACCACTGGACAACTAGGTATTTTTTTTAATTTCGACCACTGATATTTACTAAATACTTACAGATGCTATTGTTCCTATTAACGTCTCTTCATCTTTACTATACAATGCTTTGTTTAAAACAGACTGCTTAACATCCAGGTGAAGGTTTTTCATTGATTGCTGAGCTATTCTGTAAAAATAAGTATATAATTAATTTTTTAACATGTAAACATGGTGCATCATTCACAGGAGTGATGTCTGGTGTCAAATATCATTAACTGATACTGTGATCAGCATCAGTTTGCGTGTGAAAACCAATTGTATAATGGTATTGTTTATATCGTTATGATATGCGAATTTCAGAATGGATAAAAATTATTATTATAAGTTTATTTTGAAAAAATATTGCTAAGGCAAAGTTTTTGCTGTTTTTGAAACAGACATGCATCATGTATAATTCTATTTGCATAATGACCAGTTCTCTACAACAAATATTGATACAGGTCAATATAACTGTGTTATTGTAAATGAAAATTACGAGTCCATCTATTAAACTTCAATTAATCAAAGATGAGATATATTTTACTTCATTGTATTTTTATTGTGCATACCAATGCCAATATCTATGTTTAAGGTGAAATAAACAAGCCACACATGGAACAGTCCCAGTTAGTTATCAAATTTAAGATATGTGTAAGTTTTGTATTATAGTTTGAACATAACTACATGTATGTCAGAGATATGGATCCAAAAGATGATGCTTGACATTCAGTCATCTTGTATCTGATCGTCAAACTTTAGAACTGCATTCATTAAAACAAAATGGCCGCCAGTCAGCCATTTTGAATCCGTTCTGAAAAACAAAATGACGTGCACTGGAGCCCATAATGTCTAATGTATGTACCAAGTTTGAATGAAATTCACCATC